GGCCACAAGAGACTCCTCTGGAACCAAGTCATGGGATATTCCACCTCACGAGATAAATAGCTCTCTTCGAAAAAAGCAGACTGGATCCAGGCATATTTTTGCTTCTTGGGCTCGGTATGTACTGCGCGGCCATAGTCGATGATCCGAAATGATGGCTTGTGTTTGGAGCGTTGCGAAGGTGGGACGGTGAGAGGGCCTGGCTGCATGAGAACATTACGGGTACTCATACTGTTTTGGATGATCCCAAAGCGGTGGATTCGCAGTAGCATCGACATGACGATGGACCTAGGACGACTCAATGAATAAAAGGCAACATAGTTAGATGAAGTCCCCTTACTTGTGGTGAGGCTTTAGCTTTTCAGGTCGAATAGGTGTCCCACATTCCTCGAGAAGTAGCATCAATTGGCCATTCTTGTCCTTGTACATGCCATAGAATTTAGGCATAGCCGCAACACACGGTTGAGGCTGGTGGATAGGCTTGGTTTGAATATAACCTTCTCTTGCTTCGGATAGATAGTCTGGACTGATGGCGTACGAGTTCCCTTCGTTGGACACAAAATCTTTGGCGCGGGTGCTGATATAAGGTAGTTTTGCTAATAGAGAGACGGGGAGTCTTTGTTGTATTGGATTCAGTCATCTTCATTACAAACTGGATTGATACGTACTTGTCACCGTGTTCCGTAGTGATCTCTGGGTGTTCCATCATGACCCGAAACACCTGAGCGCTGTTACCATGACCTACTCTATCAGTTTCATGGCTAGAGAAGGTAATTTTGACCGCTAAACTTGCTTCGTTGGGTTGGGTATCAGGAGGTGGAAGTATCCTTTCAAAGGTTTGTGTCTCGGACTCATATTCTTGCTCATTGCTTGATACATATTCACGCTCCATTTTGGGAAGTGTCTCGACGAGGATCACATCCGGTAGAGATATTCGGTGCTCGAGCTTTGGAAGGTCAGAAAAGAGGAATGGGCGCTGGAGAAGTCGTTAATGATTGAACGCGATGTGCAACGGATAGGTTACCTCGAAGGATTCTACGGAGCTAATATCGTAACTCTTTTCAATAGGAGCAACTGTCGGTCCATATGAGTAGTCGAGTTCGTCGGTCACCTTGAGTATGTTCCGTAGAGAGACAGGCTTCTCTTGACCTGTAAAACCTAGGCGTTAACGACTACAATCACAACGAAATAGTGTCTTTTACAGACCGACATATCCTAGTGCCATGGAGAGCCGACTTTGGGTCATGATCTGGACGGCTGGGATGCCAGCCCAAATCCAGACGGCGTACCACTTGTCCAAACTGTGAGCCCACGAGAATCTATCGGGTGTTTGAACTCCATCATCTTTGTGCCTGACTCCGATAGGCGCTTGTCGTCGAGTTTTCTCGTTCCCATTCTCGTCTTTCTCTTTGGGATCATCGTTGGCCATGAGCGAGCACTCGTTCAGGACAAAGTTATTCGACTTGGCTGCCAGATACGAGACGGCTTCAAACATGGCTTCCGCTTCTTGAATGTCTTGAATGTCTTCGATGTCATCGATGTCCGCCATTTTTTTCCTGAGTTTACGAGCGTATGGCGAGCAGTGGTGAGGAGCAAAATGGTTTATGTGGCT